GGGGGGGGGGGGGGGGGGGGGGGAATGTAAGGTTATGGGAAGATGGATGGAAGACCGTTAGAGGCAGATGGGCTCTTATCACAAGCAATGGAATGCTCAAGATTGTACCAACAGGAGAATGTGAGAAGACTAAGGCGGCAGGGGGGCAAGGGGAGGAGAAGGAAAAAGGGTAAAAGCAACTTTTGGCGTATGAGGGCTTATAGCAATGCTTTGGATCTGTACACCTGTACACTTATTCTCAAATAAATGAACTCTTTTTTGAATCAGAAATGATTGCTGGGAGAGTTACTGGATTTGGGAGCAGTAGGTGTCAGGTCATTACACTAGTTTCATTTGTATGTCCAGTGTAGCATCTTTTTCCATATTGCTCTTGTAGCTTATCATTTTTAAATCTGCTTTCAGATCAGTCTCAGTCTTATCTGCTAAAACATGTTCCTCTTCCATAACATCTTTTATACACAGTCTATCTATAGAGGCAGACACTATTACCATTAACTTCTGGGTCCATTGTTCAAAAATATCCTTCAGTATGTTCACTGTTAAAATATTTTGCTTCATTCTGTAATTATAAGTCAAGTTTGAGTGTTCTTCTCTTTAATTGCAGTTGTAATTATAATTGTAATTGTCTTTAGTTCCCTCTAGTGTACAATTTTTAAAGTGTTATCTTATTTTTTTTTAAATTCAAAACAAAAGCATTTTCCCCTTGGGAAAGCTTTTTTATATTTAATTCTAAAGTCTTATTTCAAATTTACCTGGACCCTTAGTCTGTCTGTAACTTTCTAAAATCAAAGTTTTAACCACCCTTTTGTTGTTTATTCCAATTTTTTTTTTAAGTTCTTAAACTTGTAGTTAAAACTTCTTTTGCTAAGAATTGAAGGAAACTCACCCGGTGCCATAAGACTTGTCAATCCTAATAACTGAAAAGCAGTTAACAAGCAATTTCTGAAAGTGATTAGAAAAGGAAGTATGTGAACTTAGTGTCCTTTCAAAGGCACTGACTGGAATTTGAGCAAGATGGTTATTCCCTGGTCTCCCAGAGCTCTAAACCTGCTGAAGACTGCTATCTTGCAGTGTCCTCATGAGGAGCAGCTGTCTGGAGCACTTGTGGGCAATCTCAAGTCTTCTCCTTATCTGTAGAGGAATTACTGAATAGCCAGTCTACTTGCTGGCTCTTCATTCTGCCATGGTTGTTGGCTTCACTATCTGCAGAGCTGTCTTCAGTCCACCATTTGTTCCCTAGAACTCCACATAAACTTGCATTCTTAGGGTCCAGAGCTTATATCTGGGTGCCACAATCTCACTGGACTGTCTATGAGCTGTGAATCCGCCAACCCAAACATTCACTCAGGCATACAACACATCCAGGAGGCAGTAGGTATGACCTGCTAACCCTAACCCTAACCCTAAGTGTGAGAAAGCCACCATAGCACAGTAGTGGAGAAAATAAAACTAATAAAATGGAAACTGCACCCTTTCCCCACACCCTGTTCATCTCTTTGCGTAATCCCATCACACCCAAATTGACCCTCCCTGCCCCAGACAAAGCCCTCTGCCATCCCTAGCAGCCTTCCACCAGCTCGTAGCCCAGCCCAAGGGTAGCCCTAAGAAGGGACTTCCAACATTCTTGCCAGCTGAGAATCCCCAACCTTCCATCCTTCCTCAGCTGACGACCTCCACCCTCCACCTCCTTCACCAGGAACTTCCCCAGCTCTGCTGCCCTCCTGAAAGGCCCACTTCACCCAACAGCAACAGCACTCACCCCAGGTACAAGGACAAAGGCCTGCCCAGCTTCCCCAAACTGGCCAGCCCATCAGGTCCCTGGGATTTCCAGCCTTGTGGCCCTCACCTTGTATCAAATTTTTTGCTTTCTCATTGTTTGGGGTCCTTCTCCTCCTCAGCGTTCTGCTCCTTCTTCAGACCAAATCCACGACACAGCCACATCCCATCCTCTGGGCAGATTTTCAGGGCACAATAGACATCACAGGGGTGGCTCATTCTGACTCCAGGTTACCCTCCAAAAGTCTGGACAGGATCACTTTTGTGGCCTGAAATTGGCATGCATGAATTGGTTATTTGATATTTATGGATCTGCAATTGACTCTTCTGTGTTGGTCAAATGCAACCGCATAACATTTATGTAATTTAGGGTTGATGATCCGAGGGATTTAAGACTGTGCTTGGAATGCAGTGCATTTACAGAAACCATGTTTGGACAGTCAAAATGCTTGATTAGATTTGGTTTCCATCTTCCATTTGAAACTTAGTTTTGTTTCAAGCCAACTAACCCTCTTTGAAGAGTTCAGATGTAGGCATTTGCATTTTCTTAAAAAAACCCGTAGACTAGATTTATTTCAGAGCTCTGCCTGCACTGTAACAAACATGAGTGTCTCTTGTTCACTTAATGATTTTCTTGCATTTTCTTTCTGACCCTCCCTCAAGAACACTGCTTGTTTTGGTAGAGCTGCTGGGCTGGCTGCAATGACTCACAAATTACTTAAACTGTGTTGTTGATGGTAAGAAGAGCAGCACAGCCAGTCTCTTCCTCTCACCCCCCACCCCATGCACACATCTTCCCCACACTCTCTCTTTCTGGTTGTCACAGGAACAGCAACCCACCATACTAACTCTTCCTTCCTTCCTTCCTTCCTTCCTTCCTTCCTTCCTTCCTTCCTTCCTTCCTTC